ACCGTCTCACCATAGTGATTATCGGCTTACTGACACCCAACTGCGTAATACTGTTTACAATCTCAGAAGTCAGTACACATCCTGTGTAAACAATTTCTCGGCAATGTTCGTACAGCCGAAAAAAGTCGACCAAAACGAAAAAGGGGCGTGTCATGATTACTGAATGCGGTGCCGTGTTTTCCCGATACGCGCGCGAGTTATAAAAGTGAAAGTGGCATAAATCATCAATATGGGCAAGTCAGGGCTTAAAAACAAAAGTTGATAGTAGGCATTTCACAGGCACTTTAAGGTATAGATAGATGCAGGTTCGTGGGATTTTTTTGCTTTTACTTAGCCTGAAAGTCATGGTTAGATAGGTATAAAATTTCGGACTTTCGTCGATAGTGGAACCATAGACAGTCCTACTATACTGTCTATGGTGGAACATACTCAAAAATTGATTTTAAAATACAGGGAACCGAGGCGGCGGTTGGTGACTTCCTGTCAAAAACAAACAGTTGTAAATGATAAATAAACTTGTTTACACTTATCCAAAATATTACCGCCCATTCCAACCGGGTCGTCTAACTGAAACTAGAATTGTGTTGGGATCCACACGGCTCATTTTACTGGGGATCGCGAAAAACTGCGCCAATACAACGTATTTTTGACTCCCATATGCGAAGCATGTATGTGTGTCCGTCTGTTCCATTGCTAACTCAAGATGCATCGAGCGGTTTTTGATGAAACTTGGTATATAGATGCCCTGGGCCAATGTGCAGATTTGATTAGGTTTTGGTAAAAATTCATGCATATTAATTACTCAATTTGCATGATAATTAGCTAATTTTTAGCTATTCCGTGACTGTTTCACTGATATCTAAAGAAACTTGGTACATAGATGCTCTGAACTTAAGCGCAGATTTGATCAGTTTTTGGTAAAAAAAGAAACTTGGTACGTAGATGCTCTGAACTTATGCGCAGATCTGTGCATATTAATTACCTAATTTGCATAACGATCAGTCAATTTTCGTTTTTTCCACTGATATCTCAATTACTAATCGTCACATTTCAATGAAACTTCGTACAAAGATGTCATAAAACACTGCACAGACCCTCAGACCACAAGTGGTCTGAGACAGACCTGATAGTTTTTAGGGTAATATCAGTACATATTAATTTTCAGATTTTGATATTTCAAGTACTAATCATCACATTTCAATGAATCTATGGCTATGCAGGGGCCCAATTAGTTTTCGATGAAAATTTATGAATATCAATAACCTAATTTGCACAATTAATACATTTTCAACTTTCACACTGATATCTCAAGTACTAATCACATTTCAATGAAACTTTGTACATGGATGCTGTAGGACAATAGACAGACCTGATTAATTGTGGGTTAAAATCTGTACATATTAATTACCTAATTTGCATAATTAACCAATTCTAAGCTATCACACTGACATCTAATGTACTAATTATTCAATTTCAATGAAACTTGATACAAAGATGCTTTAGGACAATGTACAAACCTGATTAGTTTGGGGTTAAAATCTGTTTATATTAATTTCCTAATTAGCATAATAATTCATAATTTGGTTCTAATCACATTTCAATAAAACTTGGTACATAGATGGTCTATTACATTGCACAGACCTCATTAGTTTTACACTCAAATCTGTTCATATTAATTTTCTGATTTGCATAATTAGTTTTCAGCAAGTAATTCGAAAGTAATTTCGAATTATTTTTAATGTGTCTCCAATACTTTCAGCACAAGGGAGTTCTTTCTAAACTTTCTTTGATTAAGGGTTTGAGAAAAGGTAAATAAAGCCATTGTCGATCGCTATGAATATGTATGAATATCTCATCGGCTTTACGTAATCCACTAAGTAGAATCATGAATGGTAGAATTGATAACACGACGCCATGACGGTTTTCACGCAAGGTTGTGACTTCGCGGACAATGCTTCTGTCCATTTTTCTCAAATATTATTATTTTATTTTTTTACGTGACGATTGAACATCTGCAAGCGTCAATGTAAGTCGAATTTGGCATTTAGTGACGCGATAGCCATATTTGTGTTCGATAAACGTTACTTTCATAAAACGGGCATTATTTTTGTTCGTGTTTTCTGCTTGGTCACATCACGAGCGTACGTCCATGATCACATCGTCGCCAGTCGGTGGTCTGAGGTTTGAAATTTTCACACGACGACGTCTTTACCAACAAAAGGACGTCTGGGCTTACTGAATTTTTAGAGCTTTGTATTCTCGGACAATGACATCTGAAGTGTGAAATGCTGACCGGGATTTAATATACGGCAAATCTTCTTGACAACTTTGTAATATGAAAACAAAACATGATACTAGTATATATACGCATGAATGCAATTTTGTTCATAAACAACTGACAAAAATAGTTTGAAAGTTTCCACACATGTAGGAGAATGCAATTTACATTTTTTTTATATCATTTTTCATTCTCTAGATATTCAGTCGCATTGCTCCCAACTAAACTATCACACGTTGAAAAAATAATCTACGAAATAGTTTGCCTGGACGTAATGTCACATTAAAGCTATGCAAATTTAGTGTTAATCCGACGAAACTAATTTGAAAAAAAATCCTAGAAAACGTGGATGACGCCAATTATTTTCAAGTCAGAGGGTTGTTTTCACGTGCAAAATCTGATACAACATTTGTATGGCATCGAAAGATAGAAAGCAATTTTTAAACAAGTGAGTTAAAGGAATGGACGAGCTTTAATTTGGGGGAAACAGGCAGATGAAAACGCCAAAATCGCTCAAAATGTGTCAACGTATTAGCGTGACCTTGTGTCGGGTGTGAAGGACGTATTCTGATAAGCAAATGACTAATCTGTGAAACCAACAGGGATGGAGACTAAGCTAAGACTAAGACTAAGTGTTTGTAGTCGGAAAGCAAATAAATGATTTCAAAAATTGACAGAAGAGAACAAATCTATTATGATAATGGTTAATAAAAACAATGAATAATATAAACATATAAAAATCAACTTGACTATGAGACAGAAACCAAAATCCTTTTAAACATTACACTAAAATAAGGCCGCAGTACCCCATAGTATAATTGTAGACGTATTGTATTTTACATGACACGCTATGGTTACCCTAGTCTGAGGGCCACCTGACGCATGCGTAGGTGACGACTCCCCCGCTTTAACTTAAGAAAATACAATACGTCTACAATTATACTACGGGGTACAAACAAGCGTCTACCATGGCCCTTTGCGTTCTTAGCGTGTGATTGTTATCATCGCTTGAGATCCTTCCACTTTAATGGACAACGAATCTTGTATTGTAATTTGTAAATGTAATTTTATAACTTGTTTGCACTTTTGTCGTGTTCGTAACCAATATGTCAATTCATTCACGCTGTGTGTGCTGAAGAAAAAACACACAAATAATTTGCAATAAAAAATGTACACACTCACCCATTCATTCTCTTATACTTATATATGGTACGGTTTATCTTAATTAGGAAGACTTGTTGTCCATCTTAATTTTCCTAATTTATATAGAACGTCATGTCTGGTACCGTGTTTGTCGTAGCAGGCCGTCAAAAACTGGCAATCCTGGTGACAGATACAAGTAAATTATTTTTTAGATCAAAAAGCATTAACATATGTCACCTGTTCAGGCCCGTAGTTTAGAACATAATAAAACAAACAGTATTAATTAAAATAATTATCGTTGTTTAAATCACTTGACTCCGTGATGTAACTATCAGAGTAATGTAATGAGTAATGCATAGTAATGAGCATTTAGGTGGCAACGAGCTTTAAATGTCAATCGTGAAGTTATGCCGTCTCAGCTCAACAGCAGCCAACCAAAACAGGTTGTTATAAATAGGCATCCTTTATTCGGTTTTTCCGCGATGGTGTAATGAAGATCGCGTTCAAGCCCATGATGTTAAATATTAAAACAACATTCAAACAATAATGTAATGGTAGTCACTCTCTGAATGATGTGGTGGTCCTGAATAGGGCAGTTTGTCTTGTGCTAATGTTCGCTCAGTTTGTAAAGTGTGGGGATCGAACGGGATTGACACGACAACACGACACTGTACTTTCCTAGTTTGGTTCATTAG